TCGTCTCTCGTAGTCTGGAACCTCCATTGAAACCTGTCCACCAGGGTGATCCTGCTTGCATTTGAAATGCTGGTGGCACAGGTTCTAGCATCCCAACCACACGTAAGCCACCGCGCTACAGCACAGACAGATGAGTTGTGGCCTCTTGGATTATAAATCCTATTAAATTCTACCTTCTTTCGCTTTACAGTTAAAATGGCACTGTAGTGACAACACTGTCCTTGGGCACTGTGTCTAAAGAACATAGGGCACGTCCTTGGAAGGAAGGGATAAGTATTCCCTCTTTCATTTTATTGACAAAGATAGAACACATGGGAGAGAGCAGTGGGCGGTCGGTGCCAGCATCAGGCTTGACATTCGGGTCACAAAGCACGGCAAATGAAGTTCCCGCCAGCAGATGCAGGCCTTGTCTTGACAGCTGGCGGGCGAGGCCGGATAACAGTGCGGGAGGGCGGGAAGAACCCCACCATTCTTGGGTACTTGGTGTGGGGGAGCCATTGCCCATCTGTCCTTCCGGTCTGATCCTTTGAGGTGGGCAGTGCCTTTGTTTTACAAAGGCGGGCTGTGTTTCAGAGATCTTAGCTCTGAGCTTGCACGCAGGTCAAACTGACTCCAAAGGCTCGGTGCTCTTCTTCTACACCAGGCGGACTGGAATGGTCCCTTCTCTGGAAGGGACCATGCACTGCCCTGGGCGATGCTGCCGTGGGGAACGAATCTCTGTGGGGTCCATTTCAAAAGCAGTTCACTTAAAAGGGCTGCCCCAAGAACAGCAGCCGTGGTGGTCTAGGGATTTGGGGTGAGCGTGGGAAGAAAAGTTCACTTATATATAAAAATCTCACTTTGAGTGTTGAAGTAACCCTTTTAATCTCTTTCTTGAACTCAGCGGAGAAGCTCTCTCAGCACAAAGACGCTCTCATCTGCTTTGCGATATGTAGGAAATAAGCGCTCCAGCACCCACTGCCCTTTTCAAAGGGGCTTTATCTTTGGTCTAAATGAATCGGGTCTGTCACTGGTAGAGCGATTCACTCCAGAGGAGGAGGAGGAATCTGCTCACCGTGTGCTGACCTAGAATGGCTGCAGTGAAAGCTGCAACGCGGGCCCGACTCTCTGGGCTCAGCTTCCTCTCTCTGTCGTGCACATTACATGGGCATCTTTCCACACAGGGGCGACATGGTTTTGTCGTACTTGTTCAATGCCAAAGTGACCACAGAAATCTCCCCTGAGATTTGCCATTTACTAGACAGTATATAAACAACCTTAAAAAGCGAAATGCACTGCTTCCTAGACAAAGAAGCAACTTTAAACATGTAATAAAGGTCTAAGAGATGTAACGGAGAAGGCACTAAACTCAGAAATCTATAGACAACTACAATACATCAATAAGAAAAAAAAATCCAATTGAAAGTGGGCAAAGGGCAAGAACAGGCAGCTCACCAAAAATGACATCGTAAGGGCTAACGAGCATGTGGAAAAATCCTCCAGCTCATTAATTAGCTGGGAGATTAAAATCAAAATAACGATGAGATACTGACAGGTGAGAAGATTATGGATAGAGGGGGTTGTCTCCATCAAATGCCTACATTAAACAAAAACTAGCTGGCCATGCCATAATTGAAAAAAATCAGGCACACGTTAGACACTGATGGTGACAATCCAAAGCTGGGCACGAGCAGACCAAGGTCACCAAGGCGCAGGTGAAGGTCAACCTGGGTATGCACACAAGACACCAGTTGCATTACCTCACACGTGTACCTGAGCTCGGCCACTAAGGCTGGCCAACGCCCTCAACCATGCCTGCCAAGTGGGGGCGGAGGGGTAAAAAGCAGAAACGAGGAAAATCGTTCTCTTGTCCCGGCACCCCTTCCATGTGATTTTTCGAGGTTCCCCTGAAGCGGCCAAATTCAATTTCAACATTTTGCATGGTCCTCTGAGCGGCCTAGCACGCTTTCCAGAAAGAGCGTGCACTACCTGTGACTGTGGTTCCCGAAAGTTCCTTTCCCTCGTAAAGTTACCTGGATTACAGAAGTGCTTCCTCCGTGTGCATTCTTAAAGCGTTGAGAAGCAAGAACGGGGGAGAGCCGTCCCAGAACCCTAACACTACGGCCTTACACTGACCATGACAGCTCACCTCACAAACAGAAAACAAGAAGTGCTGGAGGGGTGGGCTCTCAGACACTGCAAATGTGTATACTCGTTGTGGACATCGACGTGGTGCCTCCTCGAACAACTGGGAATAAACCCCTACGAGGCAGCAATCACGCCGCCAGGTGTGCACCCCAAAGGAAAAGGAGCCACAGCACACACTGGCACGTGCCCTTCCGGTGCACAGCACTGATCACAACAGCATGATGCTGGGAACCGCCTACCTGCCCGCTGGCAGAGGATGGGGTAAAGAAACCATGGTACTACACACAATGGAATCACAATGCATCACTGGGAAAGGACGCTAAAACCACGAACTGCCTCATGACGCCGATGGGCGAGGAGAACCTACTGGGTCAAGTTAGGCCATCACAAAAGGACATGTCTGGAATAAGAGCACCACTCGATGGATAAGAACCGAGACACAGACTGGGATACCAAGAGAACAGACTTTGGAGGCTCCCAAGGGAGGGCGGGCAAGGGTGGGGACTAGAAGGGTGGGGGGTGTCGCTTTGGGTGAAAGGGAGGATGGGGGTGCACAGAGGGTGAAGAGAACGGAGAGTGGGTGGGACAGAATGCTTGGGAGGGAATTGAAAAGATATTTGAACTATTGGAGACAGAGTTGAGGTCTGAAATGTAAGTCATCGCCCAACTCCACCCCTTGCTAGTGAATTAAAAAAATATATATGTGTGTACATATTTGGAAAAAAAAACCTTACAAAACCCCTAGGCTGAGCCAGCTGCTGAATATATCATCGACTCTGGCCGGCTAGATCTGCATGTGTCTCCCTCCGTGCCCCAGTCCTAGTAAGAATCTTATGAGAAACGACAGAGGCAACTCTGGGCTTCAAGCATCCTGTTAGAAATTCATATGGACTGACCGGTGTGTGAGATGCTACACGACCTGTCAAAGACACAAAAGGCCCTTTCTGAAGTATGGAGGGGACCGGAGTAGACTGCTCGGCCCAGACACAGCACAGAAAGTGGGCTCCGTGAAGCCAACTCCCTTTCCGCCCACATTTTCTCCTTAGGAGTCTACCCCTGGGGGCGGGCAGGGGACATGGTGTCTGAACACATGACTTGCTTGTTGGCGTGGCTAAGTAAAGGTGTACAGCTTAAAGTCCAGCTAAAAGTCTCTTTGATCCCTGCCCATCTCCCTTCTATGAGAATAAAACCCATCTGCTCTGCAGGAATTCTGAAGATGTTTTTAGGATCCAAGAATAACAGGGCTATGAACGCACAGAGCTTTATTTATTGCTAGCACTCAGTTGGGACCAATGCCCATACCACTCTCTGGGCCTTAACAACTTGGCAAGGTCTTTTTTGACTCCTTCCAAGATCAAGTTGCTCATCTCCAAGAACACAAAAACCAATCGTTGCCCAGCTAGCAGACTGCTCCTCAGTCGGCCCCTGAACCCACCCACCACCTATTCTTGCAGGCTAAGGCACGACGGAGGGACAGTCCCCGTGTCAGCACATTCTGCTTCAGAGAGAAACAACTAAGAAGCGCCTGTCCCTTTAGCAGCAT